CTTGGAGACAGAGGGAAGAGAGAAAACGAAGAGCTGGAACTACAGTTAACACTTCACCTTTCCCACGTGAGATGGAGAGACGGCTTAGTTGGTAAGGGACTTGCCCTACAACCACACTACCTGAGGACCAAGGTTCAGTCCCTGAGAATGCTAAAAACAAAACCAACGAAAAACTGGGCAGAACAGTGTGCGCCTGTGATCCCAGCACTAGGGAGACAGCTGTGAGAGGATCCCTGTGGCTCACGATCAACCCAGTCAATCACCAAACTCCAGGTTCAGTGAGAGATCCTGTCTAAAAAAATAAGGCGGAGGGTTACTGGAGAAGCCAATAGAAGTGTCTGGCCTACACACACACTCACACACACTCACACACTCACACTCACACACACACACACACACTCACACACACTCACACCTTTACTCTTCTCCCAGCTTCCTTCTGATTCCCAGCATCTCTAATCCCACATTATTTGTTCTCTTCAGTAAAATTCTATACAATTATCAACATTCTCCCGTGTCATTTAACTGTTTCTCTCCCTCCCTTGAAGCTCTGTCATAGAAATATATTATAACGATCCCTGCCCTCAGACCACAGAGCTCACAGTCAAGCCCAGAGGCCTTATTTGCATGTGGTCAGAGCTCTCCATATTTAGGCAGGGTATCCCAGGCCCTAGGTGAGCAGGCTCAGCCTGCCACACAAGCCTAGGCCAACCTCATCTCCCAGTCTCCCACAGAGAAACAGGCCACAGGCTTTCCAACCTTGACCTTCAGGGCAGCTGTAATTAGCGTTACTCAGATGCTCAAAAACTGGGTTTCACGAGAGGTGTCTCCCTAGGCATATTACATGGTTTGGAATGAGTACTCAGCTGAATGTGCTTATCAACTAGGCCCAGAAGCAGCTGTGCTGGCTAGTTTTATGTCAACTTGGCACAAGCTAAAGTCATCTGAGAGGAGGGAACCTCAATTAAGAAAATGTCTGCCTAAGATCAGGATGTAGGGCATTCCTTAATTGGTGATGGATCGGGGAGTGCCCAGCCCACCATGGGTGGTACCATCCCTGGGCTGGTGGTCTTGGGTTCTATAAAAAAACCAATTGAGCAAGTCATGGGAAGGAAGTCAGTAGGAAGCTCCTCTCCCGTGGCTTCTGCATCAGCTCCTGTCTCCAGGTTCCTGCTGTGTTGGGAATACCTGTCCCCACGTCCTTCAGGGACGAACCATAATATGGACTTGTAAGCCAAATAAACCCTTTCCTCCCCCAAGCAGCTTTGATGATGGTGTTTCATCACAGCAACAGAAACCTTAAGACGGAAATAGTTCTCCCAAGCACAGCCACCCACCAGAGCTGAATCCTGAGTCATCTGTCCCCAGCTGGCAGGATTGGCCTTAGCTCTCCCAACAGGCACAGACATGACTGCAGCCCTGTATCTTTGTCAGACCTGTTGAGATCAGTGATGTCTGTGAGGCCCACCCCAGAGCCTGGTTCTGGGTTATTTCAAGACCTGTCCCCACCCACTACAAATTCCTACAGCACTAGGATGGTCCTTAACCTCGAAAGTATTGATGGACTTGGACACTTACCCACAATGCCCTTCTCCAGAGATAGAAGGAAACTGCAACCATCCTCCAGAGGAGCGGAGGGTGGTTGGAAGGATGCTCTGTGTAAGGCACCAGGCTCTGGCCTTCATGTATCGTTCCCTTCAGATCTTCTCCTATCCCTGCTGCTACCACCATTCTGGTCTTTGGAGGCCTCACTGTCCAATCACAAGTCCCGGTTAACTGTGCTCATGCTTGGTATTCCTTAACGTGACACAGCAGATGGCAGACTGGAGTGCTACCCGGGCTTCTAAAGACTTTCTGTCTCAGTGGCTTTTCTATTTCTGTTTGAGACGTCACGAACAAGGTAACTTTGGAAGGAAGTTTATTTGGGGCCTACAGTTTCAGAGGGTGAGTCTATCACCACCATTGCCAGGAGCGTGGCAGGCAGGCATGGCACTGGGAAGTAGCTGGGAGCTTGTCTTGATCCATAAACATAAGGCAGACAGAGCTAATTGAGAATAGCATGGGCTTTTGAAACCTCAAAGTCCACCCAGAAAATGCCCCCAACAACACACGTCCTCCAAAAGAAAGCCACACCTCCTAATCCTTCCCAACAGTTCCATCAACTGGGGACCAATTATTCATCTATATGAGCCTATGGGCCATTCTCATTCAAACCACCACAGCTTCCCAGTGACAAGAGAACAGGGCACAAACCCGGAATGACAAAGTACTCCCTCAGCTCCAGCTTGGGGTCCTGCCAATGGCAGCTCTCGGAAAGGTTCACTTCACTCCAGGCTTCCAGAGACCATCCTTGGGATTGCTTCAAAGCTCAAAATCAAGGAAAGTCAACAAGTGCAGGGGTGTTTCATCTTGCCTAATACTCACCTTTGAACTCAGAATTTTGTGAGTGCTATACTTCTTCAGATGAATAAAACTGCAATGGCCACTCGTTCATTCGTTTATTCACTCAGCACATACTTATCAATTCCATACTATACAAGAGGAACAAAGGAGAACTAAGAGACTTGATGCTCTTCCCTCAAAGTCCATACCTGTCTATAAACCAAACTCCATGGCCTTCATTTTCAACATAGAAGCTTTCAAATCAGGCACAGGGTGTAGCCAAAAGGGCAATTTCCCAATGATTTGACCCCAAAGAATTTAAGTCCGGGGTCCCCAAGGGAAGAGATTTACCCCAGACCTACCAAACTCCATTCTCCAGAGGGAGGGGAGATGGAGGTTGAGGGAATTTGTTTTTTTTTTTAAGATTTATTTATTATTTATAGAGTGTTCTACCTACATGTATGCCTGCATAGCAGAAGCGGGAACGCGATCTCACTATAGATGGTTGTGAGCCACCATGTGGTTACTGAGAATTGAACTCAGGACCTTTGGAAGAACAGGCAGTGCTCTTAACCTGAGCCATCTCTCCAGCCTGGGAATTTTTTTATATAATTTATTTTTTATTTTATGTACGTTGGTGTTCTACCTGCAGGTTGGTCTGTGAGGGTGTCTGGAATCACAGACAGTGTAAGTTGTCATGTGGGTGCTGGGAATTGAACCCAGATCCTCTGGAAGAACAGTCAGTACTCTTAACTGCTGAGCCATCCTTTACTTGGACGAGAATTTGTTTTTAACCAACTCTCCAAGTAAGTCATATGTACATAAAATATTGGAAAGCACTGCTCAGACTCCATCTTGGTTCAGCCTGCTTGATTTTATTGCAACAGTGTGGACAAAAAGTTCATACACAACAGCAATTTGTGGGTCCCAGTTCCTAAGACTTGGAAGTTCTAGATCAAGGTGTCAGCAGTTTGGGTGTCTAATGACAGCTTCATGAGGGCCTGTTGAGGCTTGGTGGAGGCTGATTTTCTATATTCTCACATGGTTGGAGTCCCAATGCTGTTTCCTCATCTGCAGGTTGGGACAATAATGCGGTGTGTGTGTGTGCATGTTCTTCGGAATACTGTGAGGAGAGCCATCCAAACTGCATACAGAGGTTCAGGCTTATCTACTACACACAGCTCCAGAGACTGACGCAGCAATAGAGAACGGCAGAGGTAATGTTGCACGAACCAAGACTTCCTCCAGCTTGTGGCTCTGAGAGCCGCCTGGAGCCTACAGGCTACTTGGCTGGCACTCCATCAGCCTTCAGCTAGCTCCATCCATGCCTCTCCCTTAAGGGAGTCCATGTTCATTTCTGGTTCTCTCCCTAGCTGCTGATAACAAACCCATCTTTGGGATGGCTCTGTGTCTTGGAAAGCAGGTTCTCCAAAGGGTGGAAAGCAACTCCTCTAGCCTGGGATTTGGAGAGGCACTGTAATGCACTGTGACACACTGCCGCATTGACTGTCCTAGCCTCCCAGGAGGCCCTGCCTTCTTCTCTTCTTCATCATCTCATTGTCAGCACTCAACCATGAAATGCTGCCATGCTGAGAACAGTGGAGACCAGAGGTAGGATACACGTGCCTTCCCGCTCTTCTCTTCACACTGCTAAACCCTTCTGAGGACTCCCTGATCAATCTGATCTACCCAACAGGTCCCGTGCTGCCCCGTGGCTGGTTAAGCATGTACTCATGTTGTCAGGTTTCTGTGCCCCTCTTTGTTATAACAGTGGCTTAAAACGGAATTAACCATGTTGAATAAACTATTTACAGTGTTTGGGACAAAGGATCAGCTTTACTGACTTTGGAATAGGTATTTATGTCCAAGGTTGCTTATTTAGATTTGCTATTAAACGAGTCTTAATAAAATTATAGATGAGTTAAACAAATCGAACCAGCAAGGACTGTAGAGATTTGATATTGCTCTCAAGCTCAAAGGTCCAACATGAACCAATCTAATAAAAATTCAAAAATCAAATGGGTCAGATTTCTTGCTTTAAATGATTAGATAAACAATTACTGTCAAACTACTGAAGAGGTAAATAAGTATTCTCTGGATGTTAGTTTGATCTTCAGGAGAGTCTCAGTATTATGAAAACTGTTCTGCTTACTTGAAGCCTTTCCAAAAGCGAATTTCAGAGAGCACACAGACTCGTTGATAGCATGCAAGAATTCATGCTGAATTAGCTGCTAAGCCCAACAGCGGCTAGCACATCCCAAAGGCGTGCACGGTGTGACATCAGCAGTGAGCTTAAAGCCATTGCCTTTCACCCAGACACCTGGGACTCTTCAGCCAGTTTGACAATAGCTTCAGTCTTTTGAAAACACAGTAAGATATGCAGTGGCCAACTTGAGCTGTGGTCAGCGGTCACTGCACAGCCAGACTGCTCACAGGCTCAAGGGTAGCTCTTGCTCTCAAACCAGCCACTGTAATCCTGATTCTGTTTCCTTCCCACTGATTAAACAATGTAGGAAAATACAAAAGATAATTAAAGTTTTCTGAAAAGTTCTCTGAAAAGAATAAATTGCCTCAAATTAATTTTTTTTGAAAAATGTTTAATATGAACTATTATTAGATATTAAGAATATAGAAAGACCTGGAGGGGACAGGAGCTCTACAAGGAGAGCAACAGAACCAAAAAATCTGGACACAGGGGTGTTTTCTGAGACTGATATGCCAACCAAGGACCATTCATGGAGATAACCTAGAACCTCTGCACAGATGTAGCCCATGGCAGCTCAGTCTCCAAACGGATTCCCTAGTAAGGGGAACAGGGACTGTCTCTGACATGAAGTGATTGGCCTGCTCTTTGATCACCTCCCCATCAGGGGGGAGCAGCCTTACCAGGCCACAGAGGAAGACAATGCAGCCACTCCTGATGAGACCTAATTGACTAGGATCAGATTTGGAAGGGAAGGAGGACCTCCTCTATCAGTGAATTGGGGAAGGGGCATGGGTGGAGAAGAGGGAGGGAAGGGGGGGTTGAGAGGGAAGAGGGAGAGAGCTACAGGTGGGATACAAAGGGAATAAACTGTAATTAATAAAAATAAAATATAAAAAAGAATATAGTCATTTCAGTTTCCTTATCAATAAAGATCATTAATCACTGGAATGACGACCTTTAAGCATCTTTATTGGTTCTAAGTCAGTTCTCAACCTTCCTAATGCTGTGACCCTTTAAAATAGTTCATGTTGTGGTGACCCCAACCATAAGATTATTTTCGTTGCTACTTCCTAACAGTAATTTTGCTACTGTTATGAACTGTAATGTAAATATGGGTTTTTCTGATGGTCTGAGGTAACCGCTGTGAAAAGGGTTGCGACCCACAGGTTGTAACTGCCCTTCTAAGTAACGGTAGTGTTTATGGCACAGTGATGTGTCTGGTGCTGACATCACAGAGCCAGATAAGACACCCAGGACATGGGGAGCTCAGCATCTCCCTTGGAGCCTTGGAGGAGTGGTGGTCATGGAAAATCCAATGAGGAACAAAAGGGAAATACCAGTGAAATGAGAACCCCAAACATCACAGCTTGGCTTAAGCTTCAGGCATCTCACAAGACAAGACTGGGCCAACTTAAGCCCGGCCCCAGGAAGCATCGTGACCGACCTGGAACCAGGCCAGCACCCCAGGCTCTCACTTCTGGTGACTGTTCAGCAGCGTTTGAATGTGGGAGACCTGCAGGGGGAGAATGCAGCTGAAGTATGCCAAGAACCTCTGGCTCATTCCATCAGCCTAGCTCTCCTGCTGCTTACCATTTCAGACCCTTTGGTGGGGACCGGGAACAAAGATGGGGATCAGACAGCGCTTACTTTCAGGGAATTCAGAATGCGGTAGGAAAATCATATATTTATAGATAAATTATTGATTCTAGGTTAAAAAGGACAATGGTTTCCTCCACCCCCACTAGCAGAGGTCTAGAGGACACAGCAGATATGACCTGGCAGCCTACGGAAGGACCAATGGGAGGCCCAGGATGTGACTTCAGCTGCAGAGAGATGACACAGCCCTCTGGAGAAGAGTGATCAGCCCAGTAGGGCTGGATGGAGATCATCAATCCTCTTCCTCAGGTTGATCTCTGTGGGTTCTTAGGTTCACTCTGAAGCTTCATGACATCCTCTGGCCCTCTGTGGAGAGACTCATGACCAAGAGACACAGGTCCAAATGCAGCACCAAGCAATGTTAACCTGAGGCAAGTATTAAGGAACATGAGCAGAGCCAGAAGGCTGAGTGGACAGGAGGACCCACCTCTGGAACCCCAGTGGTCCAGAAAAGTTGGACCACTTCCAAAGAAGCTACCGTACTGGACTGCTCTGTTCTCAAGACCTAAGGGGCAGATTGGGAAGCTCTGAAGGCAAAGATCAAAGCCTCTTTTCTGCTTTCTCTCTCTCTCTCTTTTTCCTTCACAGGTGTGACTACCCACCCTGTCTTTGCTACTTTTCTACCAACCTGAAGACAGCTGAAGTGGCTTCGGCAATTGTTGCCACACCATGAGATAGGCCCCAGGGCCCTGAAAACTTTGGGTGACTGCAGAGCTTGAGGGCCCACTGCTGTGTGGAGAGAGGTCTTCAGTGACATTGGGCTTCACACTAAAAGTAAAGAAGAGTATTTATGCACTCATAATTTTACCTCAAACTGGAAAGTCTGCAAGCCAGGATGGCTTGTAACCATCCTTCAGTAAACAGTGGACAGCCAAATGTGCGTGGCACATTGCCTCTGTGTGTGTATGCACCATGCATGTGCAGTGCCTGCAGAGGCCAGAGGAGGGCACTGGAGCCTTTGGACCTGGAGTTAGAGATGGTTGTGGGCTGCCATGTGGGTGCTGGGACCAGAACCCAGGTCCTCTGGAAGAGCAGCCAGTCCTTTTAACCACTGAACCATCTTTCAGCCCCTTCAGATTCATCTTTAATGGAGGCCACAGCATCAAGAGCAATAAGCACCATTATCAAGGGCAGCTGGCATGGATTTCTCGTTTTTCTCCCTAGGAAATGTTTTCTGGATGAGGGAAATGAACACACCAGCAATGCTGGAGGAAGCAGCTGACCTCACAGTTCTGCTTTCTCAATCTTCTAGGATAGGGAACTTGCAGGGCTCCAGCATGATTAGAAGGATGAGAGCATTTTTTTCTTATTAATAATACAACAATACAGCTCTTTTTTTTCTGGACAAAGCACCTATATGTCACCTCATCAGGTGAGCAGTGAGTCATCTGAACAGAAAAGCCTCTGGCTTTCATTCAAGATCAGAACCCAGAATTTGTGGAACAGAAATTGAGCATGTGGCCTCTCCTTTTAATGGAGAGGTAAGAGATCCCACACCAATCTTCTCACTTTACAAACGGAGATCTGATGCCCAAAGAGGTCAGGTGATTCATCCAAAGTCCTAATGCAAGCCACCAGCAGATCCAAAACCAAAGCCTGGCCTCCAAACTCCCACTTCAACAACCTTGTTGAATGGTACAATTTTCACTAGATCATTGAAAGGGAAAGTGAAAAAATGCAAGGAGCAGAGTATCAGTCCTTGGGTTTTTATAGACAGCAGAGACTTCTGTTATCCTGGCTGTGGTTGCCATTCCCTTCTGCAGAAAGTTGGGTCCTCACCCATCAGTCCTGATTTGGCTTTAGTTCCTAGGGCTGGTGCAGTCATCACAGCTCAGGACCTCTTGGTCTGAAAACAAACAGAAGTCAATCTGCTCATATCCATGCTCCTTCCCACATTCAAACAAGCATGCCAACAAGCCTTGTTCTTCCACAACAGCCAGATCAGAGTAGCCACAGGGCCCATAGCGCAAGATCCAGGGGCGGGACCAGCAGGTCACCTCCAAGGGGTTCCGGTTGTAGTAGATGCCTAGGTTAAGTCTATGCTTCTTGCTAGTTGGATGTGAGTAGAAGAGCCATCTTCCTGCTCCTTCCTCTACCTCCAGAGAACTGTCCAGCAGAGGGTATTTCTGCGTAGTGGGAGAATCTTTACCACTTGGGTCTTGACTTATGTCTGGCATCTTCAAGGGCCGGAAGCTCACCACACTGCCTTGGCAGCCATAGCGAGGCTCACGGAGTTGTGGGTTCAGGGTTGGCTTCTGAAAGCAGTCACCATAATCACAGCTAAAAGCCTCTGCTCGGAATCTGCTTGGTGTCCGGGCACTGCAGTAGAGCACAGGGTTAGCAGCCCTCCCAGTCACTTCTGCCACTTGGCACTCCCCTGTCTTCTGGGGCCCAATGAACTTGCCATGGTGCCATGTGACTCCTAAGTCATCACTGTAGATCATCAAGGAGTGGGGCTTGACTGAACATGGAAAGCAGAGAAACCAGTGCGAGATATAGTAGGCATAGGCTGGGATGATCAGCCTCCCAGACTGCAGCTGGATGCCATGACCTGGGCCCACAGCAAACGTGGCCCAGTGCTTCACCTCTGAGCCAATGACCTCTTCAGTCAGGTCTTTCACTTCACCCCATGAGCACCCAGCATCCTCACTGCAAAGGAAGCAGAGACGGCAGGCATTCTTGCCCCACATAATCTGGCAACGCTCAGTAACATGGGCCTGCACACAGAGGAAAAACAGGTACACGCGGCCAGTGTTCTGCTCCCACACAGGGCAGGGGTTCATGGTCCGATGCCCAGGTAATGTGGCTCCTAGCAGTGGCTGTAGGGGACCCCACTGGTCGAGGGAAAGAGGAGATAGTGGCAGTAAGTTACTAATGGGAACACAAGAGGCTCATTAAAAGCATCAGTTCTTTTTATAAACAATGTATGACATTGAAATGCACAGAATCTTGAAAGCCCAAATAATCACTAAATTTGCAGCTTATTATAAGGTGGATTTAAATCTGAAAAATGATAGTGCTAGATAGTATAAAAGCTGTGTTCTCTCAAGAAAGTTCTTTTGCTTCATCTGAACTTCCAAACCATCCTCCAATACCCAATACCAATTCTACCTTCTCTGGGAAGCCTTCCTTGAAACTCACTCTTCCTACACCTTAGAGCAGCTATATGACACTATGTATATTCTTGGTAACTGTCTCCCCCTTTAGACTATGAGCTTTTTGGACAATACCCAAATTACGTACATTTGTATCTTCAATACCTGGCACATGATAGCATCTAATGAAAGTTTATAAAAACAAACAAACAAACAAACAAACAAGAAGATGGGAGCCAGTGAGACAGCTCGGAGTGAGGAGGCTTGTGGCCAAGCCTGATGACCGAGTCTGATCTCTGGGACCCAGTGGTAGGACTAGAGGACCAGTGACTTTCAAGTTGTCCTTTGATCACCACAGACACACTGTGGCACATGTACACAGAGAGACAGACAGACACGGGGGGGGGGGGAGGCAGAAAGAGAGAGGAGAGATAGAATAAATACAAATGTAATACAAAAGAAGATGATGAAAAACAAAACAAAACAATGGATCAAACAGGGAAGTTTCCAGCAAAGAGGAAAGTTGAAGACTGAAGAATTTTTGTCTTCCTGGGCTGTGGTGAGAAAGCAGTGCCAAACAGCACATTAACAACTCCAGCAGAGTCGGAGAGCGGGTGCCCAAGCTGGACTCGCATTCCTCAGCTGAATGGAGAGTACTGAGGGGCTATGAAAAGAGTCAATGAGACAATGTCTGGCTTCACACACTACAAGAAAGGCTTAAGCTCCCTAAGCAGAATTCGGTAAATTTCTAGAACTCCAACAGAAAGAAGCAAAGAGCAAAATCAGACATGATAAAGAGGAGAAAAAATATGTTCAATCTCACACATAAAAACAGAACAGAAATTGAGATTAAACTGATAGCATTTTTAACTAACAATTTTTTTACGTTGTAAAGACTGATAATAGTCTGTTGGTGAAAAATGTGGAGAAACATGCTTTTTTATATATGGACTGGAGAATAATAGTTGAGTTTTTATGTGCAGATACATCCATGCTTTCCCAGGATGCCCAGCTTTGGAAAGTTATCCCAGATATGAGTGTTCATTAAAGGCTGCAGGTATAGATTTGGCTGGTTCATTTCTCTAGCATACGTAGATCCCTGGGCTGCATCCCCAGCACCACGCACAGAAAGAAAAGGTACAAGGCATTTCACTGGCAAGCTAAACAAACCTTTTTTCCTTTATAAAAAAATTTATAGAAAGTATATTTTATGAAAGCTTTGCTTATAAGAGTAAGCATCCCAGAATACTGGCCATGTGTACCTGTGGGGTTTTGTGTAATGGGGGGAACGACCCTTATATATAAGCCATATATAGTGATATGGGAAGGGTCCTATGTTGATCTACACCACCAGGAATCTTACTCCAGGTGGAAGCCACTAGGCCTGCCATGCCATGTAGGGAATTCTACTCTAGGAGCCAAGCCCATGCTGGACATGCCTGGGACAATTAAAGCCCTTAAATTCTGTTCCAAATATCACACTTAGAAGAACACTGTCAGCTCAGGCAGGATCCCCAGGTTGCCGTTTTTAAGGAACCAGACGCGAAATCAAGCCTGCCACTTAAGGAACTACAAGAGACTTTTAGTTCAGGGAAAAGAAGAATTGGAAAACATGAGCCCCTTCTAGGTACTTCAAGGAGACTTTATGTTAAACATAGACTGCTCAAGGAGGAGGGACAAGATAAAGGTATAGTTACAGGAAGCAGAAATTATATCACTTAAAAGATGCAATTTATTGTCAAGGAGTAAGATCTTCATATGGGGCTGGAGAGGTGGCTCAGCGGTTAAGAGCAGTGGCTATTCTTACAAAAATCCGGGGTTCAATTCCCAGCACCCACACAGCAGCACACAACTGTCTATAATTCCGGGCAATCTGACACCCTCACACAAACATACATGCAGGCAGAACACCAATGTACATAAAATAAAAATAAATTATTTTTTTAAAAAAGATCTTCATATGAAGTATTATGAAAACAGACCACTGTGAAAGATGAGTAGTGCTGAGTTCTTACTATGCAATTCACATCATCAATTATATCCCGTAAGTGCTAAAGCAGAGAAGACTCAAGTTCACAAACCCAACAAGGTGTATGTACTGATTGGCTGCGCTGGCTAGTTTCAAGTCAACTTGGCACAAGCTAGAGTTATCTGGAAGAAGGGAATCTCAATTGAGACGATGCTCCATAAGACTCAGCTGTAAGGCATTTTCTTATTCAGTGATTGACAGGTGAGAGCCCAGCCCATTGTTGGGCTGGTGAGAAATCAGGCTGAGCAAGCCAGTCAGCAGCAACCCTCCGTGGCCTCCGCATCAGCTCCTGCCTCCTGGTTCCTGCCTTGTTTGTGTTCCTGTCCTGACTTTCCTTGGTGATGGACAGTTACAAGGAGTGTAAGCTGAAATAAACCCTGTCCTCCCCTAACTTGCTTTGGTCATGGTGTTTCGTCACAGCAACAGTCAGTAACCTCCACTAGGACACCAACTAAAGCTATGATCTTAACCACTAAGCTAGAAGCCGCTAATGGAATCCAGATCTCCACACTGAGAAATGGTTTTTCTATTATCAAAACTCTCCAATTAAGTAAATTGAAGAATGAGAGTAAATACAACAAAGAGAAAACAGAGTGGAAAATGTGTGACCACTGGACAATGAGCTTATGCAACAAGTTATGCGAGAACGAACAGGAAAACAAAACAAGGGAACAACATCCTTGCTTAGGAGCTCACTGGCTGCACCTGAAGGCGGGGCAACATGAACACAGTGATGCCTGGCTTAGAGCATATGAAATAGCTAGCACTCCGGGCTCTGTCAGGCACAGGGCTGGGCCTCTGTGGAGTCTGCTCTGGCAGGCTACAGAGAAGACCTAATGAGATACAGTAAAGAACTGGTGCTGGCAAGTCCCCCAAGCACAAAATCCTCAGAAGGAATCGGGAGCCAGTGTCATTCAAAACAGGGAGGTGGGCTCAGCAGAGATGCATTGTCACTGTGACATAGCAAAACACCCATTTTGGATATGGAGTGCAGAAGGTGAGAGGTAGAAAAGCCGGCAGATTAGGGGATGAAAGACTCAGCAAAGCTGAACTAACGGTGCTTCCTTCCCTGGGTGGCTTCACCAGGGCACAGGAACAAAGAGGAGACCACACAGGGTCTGAATGCACCACAGAGAGGCCTTGGGAGCTTGAACCTGAGCTTGCAGTGTTTCTGCTGCTGGGTTATGACACATGACTCACAGTAAATGACAAGCCCTTTGAGCCCAGTTTCCCTGTGTGCTAACCAGGACTGACAGCCCTGCCTAGGGTACAATGTATCTCTGGCACCAAATTAGCACTCAGCAAAAGCCTTCCTTTCCTTAGCTCCTCACACAGAGTTTTGATGGCAAAGGTGGGGGGAGAAATAAGAGAGCCAGAAGTGAGGAGAGGGTGAGGAGGCCCAGGCCTGTATCTGGGTGAGTCACCTGTACGGAGCGCCCCGTCATCAGCCCTCGCCGGAGCACCAGGTAGAGGGCATCCTCATCTTTGACTGTGGACCGCTTCTCTGCAAAGGCCAGGAAGGTGCGGCTGGGAGGAATGTAGATCAACGCTGGGATCCGGTAGGTGATCCCTTTTGCATCTTCCTGCTGGAACAGAGTGGTGCTGTTGAGGGAGCATGACGACACCTCCTCCATGATTCCTGCAAGGAAGCAAACAGTTGACTGCGCGTCTGCAAACAAGTTCTTGGTTGGTTCACTGCTGAGGGCACACATGAGCTGTGGCTGTACTTGAATGTCTACTTTTCCAGAGACAGAGAACATCTTGGCCTCAACAGCCCAAAGCAAATAACATGCACCCTGGTTCAACAACTCTGCTCTGCAGACACAGCCATTCCTCGGCTTGGAGTTCCTAGGTTATTCGGATGACTAGAAACCCAAACCCATCTGAGTAACATCCATGAATAACAATTCTCTAGGGACGCTTTCTCCCTATCCTGAAGCCTAGGATAAAAGACAGTCTGCCTCTTTGTGCACATCAGTTAGAAGGCTCCGCCCCCAGTTCACTCTGTGAGGGGTACACAAACCGGAGGGATTCTCAAGGGATGCCTCTTGGTGTTGTGATCTCTAGCCCAGGCAGACCTGCAGCTCTGGCTGCTTGACAACAAGTGTGTTAAAGACACACTTTCCTGTGTGACCTCTTGTGTGTAGCTCAAGGGATAACTACGCTGGCTTTGGGTTTGCTCTTATCCCCAGGCCCCTGGAGATTACTTTCTTGCAAATTCAGCTACCTGGGTCTTTATGACATTCTAGCTGCCATTTGCTAGGCTAGCTGCTCTGTGATACACAGTGGAAGCCTCCAGAAACACTTTGAAAGAGCTCAGAAGCCCCACATTCAGAGGCCACAGAAAGGACTCAGGCCAAACAGACAAAAGTCAAATTTAAGGTTTAATTTTCTTTCATGTTATCTGTCACCCAATGCCCATCTTACAAATAATTTATATAAATAATAAATAAGACAGTAGCCCATAAGCACTAGGCCAATGAGACCCTCCTTACTCATTCAATAAACATTTCTGAGTGCCTTCATATATCAGGCCCTTACAGTAGGGTTGCGACAACAGTTCTCAAGATTAGAACAACTGGGCGAGGGAAGCAGATACGCACACAGGCAAATATGAAGCAATGAGTGCCGATCAAGGCCCCAGAAAAGGACTTTTTTGAAAGGGGAACAACTGTGCCAAACTAGCTACCTACTTTCCCTGGAACACTCTTTTCAGAGAGCTACACAATTCCCTACCTCACTTCCCTCAGCTCTGTTCACACACCATCCACTCCCACCTCCTGCAGCTGGAGCTGCAGCCAATCGGTGAGCAGTTACCTGACAACGCCCTTGTCGTCCCCCCCCCCCCCCCCGCTTGTCTCCACAGGACTTCTCGAATTTTTTTAAAGATTTATTTATTTATTTATCTATTTATTTATTTATTTATTTATTTATTTATTTATTTATTTATTTATTATGTATACAGAGTTCTGCCTGCATGTACACCTGCATGACAGAAGAGGACACCAGATCTCATTATGGATGGTTGTGAGCCACCATGTGGTTCCTGGGAATTGAACTCAGGACCTTTAGAAGAGCAGTCAGTGCTCTTAACCTCTGAGCCATCTTTCCAGCCCGACTTCTTGTATTTTATATCTATTCAATGCACGCTACAAAATAAAAGCTCCGCAGTGTCAGGTCCCAACGCCCCAAGATGGCCATCTGCGCTCAGCCCAGGCTGGACTCTGACCCGGCACTCCTCAGAAACCTTGAAAAGTGGGTTTTTGTTTGCCAGTAAAAGCCATTACTTTATATTCTACAGCTCCCAGTCTCTGGAGAGGTTGCCACCTCCGTGGTTTCTACCCCTCACTTACACACAGCGCTCCATCTCCTCACCTAGAACCAGACGCGGTTTGTGAGAGGCGCTGGACAAGTATTGCTGGATAAAGGGATGCATGACTCGATGAACTGGGCTATAAAGGGCGAACACTGGGTTAGCTAAGTGATGAGGTAAGAGGCAGAGTGGGTGGTGGTTCGGCCTTTGGGTAACAGAAAGCGGTGAGCTGTGGAGGCTTTCATTAGGATAATGTGACTGGGTGAGGTGGAATGCAAACCTATGGGCAAAGACAGGGACTAACAGGCCTGCAGAGCAGATCCTGCCAGGTTTGTCACCTTAGTGTGGTACTGAGCCCGCACCCAGGGGGCCACCATACAGTTTCTGATAGGGATGGAGTGATCCATTTAGGCCAGTCTCCCGGGCAGCTTCCTAGGTAATGCTGCACTGCGTGCGTCTACAGACTCCCAGTCAAGCAGGAGCAACGTGAACACATGCAAGCGACTCATCAACACAAACTTGAGAGAACTGTGGCTCACTAATGTGAGAAGAGTGGGAGAAGTGGCCTCAGAGTCAGAAGGAAAGCTTCCCTTCCTTCCAGTCTTGGGCTTGCCCCAGCATAATCAAAGACTGGGTGGAATGTCTTCTCAGGGCGCTGTCAGAGCAGGCCGGTGCCCCACATTCAGGCTGTCTGCCTTCCGTGCACCATGGCCTTTATTCTAAGTACGCCCTTATCTCTGGGCCACACTGCTGGCAATGCTTCCGAACAGTTTGGCTAGAGTGCTACAGGTTCCTGGGTTCGCATTTCACTTCGCTATTGCTTTGGGATTCTCATCTATAAAATAAATTCTATGTAAAAAGAATTAAAAAAAACTTCATTAGCTGTTACAAGGCCTATTGCACAATAGGAACACAATACATGGCAGTCTACATACTATTTTTCAATTAGAAATCATTACACATTTTTTAAAAACAATGTCTCACTTTGTAGCCCAGACTGGCCTTGAACTTGCTATCCTTGAACCTCAGCCTTTGGACTGTTAGGATTCCAGGTGTGGACCACCATGCCCAACAGGGCATATTATTCCTGAAGCTGGTGTATAACAGTAGTCCTGCACTACATACAATATAATAATAGATTGCATATGTGTGATTATGATAGTACTGAAATCCCATGGCCTAGAGACACCTTAGTCGTCAGAGTCACAGCCCTGACATTTTACTCACATGTTTGTGGTGATGTCAGCCACCTAAAAATATTACACAATTGTGTACAGCTCATAGAAGTTGAAAATACTGGCTTGCACATTCATTATACTATACTTTTTGTCATTATCTTGGAGTACAAACTCACTTATTAAACATTTACAGTGAAGCAGCATTCTGTGTGAGCTGGCAGCAGTCTCACAGATTCCATGTTTACAGAGTCTTCTGACAGCATTTTCTCTTGTGTTTGACTTAATCTCATATTTATTCATCATGGCTCCAGGAGCAATAGACACACACACACACATACAGACACTATATATACACATACACATATACACATATATATCAATATACACATATATACACACACACACACACACATATATGTATGTATATCATATTGCCTAGCTGTGCTGCAGTCTGTACCACACAGATGTGCATATACACTTTTGATGTTCTCACACCAATGAAATCACAACATGGTGGTGTTCTCAGTACAAAGCCCCACCTTTAAGCACTGAATCACTCTGTCAGTTACAGCTCCTCCTCTTAGCACCTGGACTGGTCTTGAACTTGCGATTCTCAAGCCCCAGCCCGAGGAGTGTTTGGATAACAGGAGCAAGGCAGCACGACTGCCTCTGGTTTGTGAGAGGTGGACAACAGGTACTACCAGGCCCACTCAGGAGTCTTCAGAAACTTTAAGGCACTATACAAACACATGCCTGTAATTACTACGTGTGTTGGCCCTTTTATAATCCACTTTGGTCCTGCCACCATCTCAACAATTAAGTCATCATTACTTTTCATTAATTATGATTATGCTGATATTGGTGACAGCAGTAACGCGGTGGCCTGACATTGACACCTAAACAATTCACTCAAACTCTGTGCTGAGAACTAGGGACTGAGAAGAATCAAGGACTGATCTGCTTTGGAACTATTTGCTTTAGCAGAGAAGTCTAATTATTAATTGCTGTTCCATACTCTCACCTTCCAACCAAGTCCTCTCTGCTCTCTTTCTCGGGGAGAGAAAGCACAGTCTGGCAGGACTTCTTGAAGTCAGCCTTGTTTGAGAAGGAAAACTTAGAGAAGACCACCCAATCGCAAAAAAAGCCCACCTGGGGACCTTGTTGGCCGCCCACAACTCCTCTCTACTAAGAAGGTTCCCGCCTCCTTTCCGTAGTTGTAAACTACAGCTTAAATTTGCCTGGAAGAAATCAAACTAGAACGGCTCAGAATCCTAGCCGATTCAGGCTAACTCAGGATTCCTTCCGGCGCAGGTCCCCACAGCCCCGGGGAATTCGGGGCGGCTGCCGCCCCTGCTCACCGGCTCTGGCGGCTCCCCGGGGGTCCAGGAGTCTCCGAGCAAGGCCGAGGGCGAGGCTGGGGCGACGCGGAGACAAACCCGGGCACCGCCGCCGAGCAGGAGCTGGCAGGAAAGAGAAAGCGACCGCGCCGGGCCGGAGCGACGCGCAGGGGAGATGGCGCCCCCGGACTGTGGCGGGGCGGCAGCCGGGTGACAGCCTCCCGGGCCCAGCCGTCGCCTCGCAGCGCCCGCCCCGCTTGCTTCTCCACGTCCTTATCTGTAGGTTGGTCTGTGGACGGTATCACCGCCTAAAACTTCCCTGGACAGCCAAATTGTCGAGCAAAGGTTCCGACCGCCAGAGAGAACCACACACCCAAAAAGATAGAGGTGGAAGGGGGCGTGTCCAAACAAAACACTGGCACTTCCCCTGCAAAAGGTTCAAAATGTAGGTATTTATCAGGGTCTGGCAGAGACTAAAGTTGGAGGACTGCTAAATTTCAGCTGTCTGGACTACGGAGTAAGCTTAAGGACCCCGTGAATAATTTATCAAAAGGCCCCTGAGAAACAGGTTCCCTGGTGGAGCACTTGCCCAGCAGGCCAAACTCCCAGGTTCGGTCTCCGGTTCTGTAGATAATTTATTCTGTATCCCCTACACACATGTACATACACGCATCTGTCACCGAGGATTGAGTCCATTCTCTTGTTTCGCATCCCCAAATCAAAAGAGAGGCCCTTCTTGAGACAATGCAGCATATAAAAGGGTCAGCCAGTGACCAGGACAAAGAGAGCTGTAAATGACTGTCTTAATAAAAAAAAAAAAAAAAAAAAAAAAAATCTAATCAACAAGGCTACCAGAAGAAACTCATAGGAAAAGGAAAAAAAGTAAAAACAAGAAAACCAAACAAACACACAAAACCAAGTTGTGGAGTACAGTGGCCTCAAAATCCACAGTGGTCACTATTATATAAGCGTATGAGCCAGGACATTGAGCATAGTGGCATTGCCCTAGCAACTTTTACCTTCTAGTATTAAAGATCACATCCCCAAATGTGGGTCTAGCCACAGTAAGACAGAAGGCAGCACAAGAGGACTCAGCCAGGCCTGAGCTCCTCCTCCGCCTGTGATGATGCCAGGGGCCAGGGAGGGCCCTGGGCACCAAGAAGCATAAAGTCTCTTCCTTTTATTTCACTTCAGTCGTCTTAGGATTTTCTCTCCCAAAGCCCTGCCTACTCTTGTGCCACATAAAAATACAAGGGTCTTATTTCTTTGATGTGAACTTGAGTCTTCTAAAGTCATTCTGTTGTTGTTGTTGGAACCAAATAAAACATAAAGAAATTTGGCAAAAGAAATAAAGGAAAAGATGGAATACTAACTTGGAAGATGGAAAAAAATTAACTTATATTTTGAATTAGAATATCATGAATTAGAATCCATGAGCCTGAGAAAATGCACTGAGTATGGAATTGGGGGAGGTGCCGTAAATTGAAAGTTCTGAGGGATGGGCTTTCCCAAAACACAAAATTATAACATGATGTGGTTTTTCTTCTTCCCCTTTCAAATACAGTGAGAGGCCAACCTAACAACACTGAGCTAAAACAAAACTGTTTTCTTAAAATAAATAAATAAATAAAACAAAAACAAAACAGGACTCCACAGAAAAAAATGACTGATTTCAGAGCCAGGGAAAAAGAGGTACAACATAGGTCTAGAGTATCTGGTCTTGCCCGAAAACTAGGCAAAAGCCAGAAGAAAGGAATGGGGTTGCAGTGGAAGAGCTAACTTAATGGGGATCCTACTACCAAATCCTGGGGGGAGTAACAGCCAAGTGGGGGGATCACACCGTGCCAGCACTGTAGAAGCGGAGCAAGAGGACCACGACGTGTCCTAAATCCGTAAGTTTGAAGGGTGAGTTCCAGGGTAGTTAGGGCTAAATATCGGTACCCTGTGTAAGAGGGGGAGGGGAATAATAACTTACAAAGGACTAGATGGAATGTTTAAAATTATGAGAAGATGCTGCTAGAGAGAGATGCCCTAATGGCTGAAGACCCAACACCCTCTTCTAATCTCTGAGAGTACCAGGCATGTGTGTGGTGCACATGCATGCATACATGTATACACATAAAATGGAAAAATCCTTAAAATATTCCGACATCATATTGACACATGGAGAAGAAGTCTCTTGGTCATTTTAAGAGGTTGCTATAGAAGGAATAAGGCTAGAATAAAAGTAGTAGGTAGAGCAAAACCTTTCCTATACAAATCATATTCCAAGGTAACCGAATGTTCTCAATAACAATAATAACAAGGGAATGTTATAATTTTCTTATTTTGCAGTAGCTTGGTGGCTGCTAGAACCATATGATGGTCAGCATAACTTTTTTTGTGTTAGGTCAGTAGTTGTCAACATATGATTCACAACCTCTGAGGAGATCACATATCCGATGCTACTATTATGATTCATAATAGTAGCAAAATTACAGTTATGAAATAGCAATGAAATAACTTTATTGTTGGGGTCACCACAGCACAAGGAGCTGACTTAGAGGACTGCAACATTGGGAAGGTTGAGACCCACTCACTGAGTCAGAAGAATCAAGCCAAAAACATGTGAGCTCACTGTGTGGCACATGACAAAGAGAGGCAAGCAGGTTATTATGTGGGCTGCTCTAAAACCTCTTATTGCTAAGCCACCAATCTGAGCGCTGAGGGGATAGTTCAGTGGTAGAGCGCTTGCCTAGCTCTGGCTCAGTCTCCGGCCACCAGCACCCCCACAACATGCACACACAAGGGGGGGGAGTAGAAAATGTGCTAAACACTGCGACATCATTAGGAAGCAACTGGCCGAATTCACAAACAGCAAAGGGGGGAGGGGGAGCAGACAAAACATTAAAATGTTTTCAATCGTCTAAAAACAAAACAAAACACCAAAACCTGTGAATCTCTGAACCTTGTTTGGATCCTAGATTGAATAAATCCGTTCTGAAGAGACATGGAGGTGATTTTACCAGTGACCGGACACTAGGTGACAATCTGGATTTGTTCTTAGGAATAATATCAGCACTGCAGCTGTTTTCAGTCTTCCCAACAATGAACACCGAGTCCCCAGATCTTGGTCTTAAACACTGATTCCAGGTGGAACCAGGAAAACACAAGCCGAGCAGGGGACACCTGTGGTGCCTCAGGGACACAAAGGTGACAAAGCAACTTCCTTAACGTCCAAAGCTGGAGCCCACGAGGTTAGATACTGATAGTGCAACTATAATTCAGAGAAGAAAATAAAGCCAAGTCCATACTGATGTGAACAGTTGTACAAACTAGACAAACGAGATAGCTCTTCCTGAGGGTAGAATTCCAGTTAAACATTGGAGGAAAAAAACAAACAATACGTATCACCGTCTCTCCTTTAAAGGTTGGCAAAGGGGCTCCATTTATCATAAGATGTTATAGAAAATATGACTTTAATTCTAAAATAGTAAAATGATTCAGAGCCATTTCCAAGGCTTTTCTTTATCAGTTGAGAACTCGGCAAAAGGATGAGTCAACTGCTTTTCTCTTGTGATAGATCCCTCTATACTTTGCAGGTTCAAGGCCCGTGAACACAGCTGCAGGAACTGCTGTCAATCTTTAGTCACCACATCGCACGACTCAGGGTTTTCCTCAGCTGAAGAAGCCTCTCTTGAAGTCAAGCCCCCTTCCCAGGTTGGCCCACATGCAACATTAACGGATATGAGGGTATAAAGATCTGTTCATTCTGAGTCAACCAATCTCTAGAGCAAGTTAGCAGTCAGGGGAGGTCACCTAAACAGGCTTGCACCACATCTGAACTCCCCCTGCCCTTTTGGCTTGACTGCCCTCTTCCCTAAAGTGATTATGTTGTGGGCAGTGAACAAGCACCTTGTTAAACCACCCCCAGCCTGCTTCATGGGCAGAACCTGAAATGCTAGAATGGTTGGTTGAGTTGTTTATGGGCTGATTGCATTTTTCTATGTATTATTTAAATGTTTCTTTGTTGTAGTAAAAAAAAAAAAAAAAAAAGTGTGGGGCTATATAATGTTTATTTTTAGCCCTAAGATTATCACAGTGGTATTATCTAACTCACTATCTCAAATGGTGAGATGCAGACACCTGTTAGATCTTATAATTGCCTTATTTACCTTGGGTCAGATGATATTTCTACCTATCTGATTGTCTCAGTAATCTCAACATTCACCTCCCAGACCCCATCCATGCCATCCTTAACCATCCTCATCTAAACTATCTTCCATCCATAATCCCATGCTACTTGCTTGTATTCTTTATCTGGGCCTTTTTGTGCCATTATTGGGGTTCTTCCTCCAGGCCCATGTGATTTCTTCTCCATAATAACCCATCTTGGTATCCTCCTCTCTCCTCTCTTCCCATCTGTCTGTTTCCCATGATTCTCTCTTGAACCCAAAAGCAGAAGTAGCCACAGCTACCCCATTCTGCCCTGTCCAGGTATTGGTTGTTTAATCAACCATTCAGGTATGTCTTAGGCAGGTTTACAAAACAAGAGTAGGTGTAACCAGATCTTGAGGGCCAGGAATATGCATCAGACCAACCTCCAACATTTCTTCATCATGTATATTCATTATACATGCAATTGTGTTACATAAGAACATTTTCCTGCAAGTATATACCATTCAAGAACATACTCCCTTCTACTCTCCTAAACTCTTTCTCACCTCTACATTAGCCCTTTGTTCCTCTAGACAGTTTCACCTCTACATTCCTGTCATAAATACATACAAGATTGTATTCATAAATGAGAGGAAATCTTTCACATTTGCCTAAGACTGCCTTAATGTGATTATCTGCAGATTATCACCTTTCTACAAATGACATAATTTCATTCTCCTGTACAGCTGAAAAAATAAGTCTATTACGTATATATGCCACATTCTCTTATCTCTCTCTCTGTTGTTAGACACTTGGGTTGGTTCTGTAACTAAGCTACTATTAATATTGTGTGACTATGACGTGTCAATTAAGAGTCCCTTGGGTAAATAGAGGTCGTATAGATCATTTAGTTTGAGGAACCTCCATGGCGACTGGATTAGCTTCTCACTAGCAGTATGTAATGGTTGCTTTCGTTCCCATTCTCCACAATTTATTTTTTAAATGTATATTTTTATTCTTGTAAAGGATTAACATGTATGTGCAGATGTGTGTCACATGTCAACAGACAGCAGAAGGCAGGATTGGATCTCCTGGAGCTGGAGTTTCGGGCAGCTCCTTATAGGTGCGGAGAAACAAACTTGGGTCCTCCGGAGT